GGGCAAAGAAACATAGGTAGCCAACATCTGCTATACTTTATCCACATATGGTTACCTTTAGCTCTTGCACCAAACTCTATTTCATCTATAAAAATGGATAGTAAATTGATTTTATTCTATATACATACAAAGCAAAAGGATTTAAGCTGCTATTTTGAGAATGGGCCGATGTAGGTGGCCTATATTTGAGACTTCTTGGGCACCTCCTCCTCACTGTCAAGAACACTGTTGTGTGTATATAGGAAGGTATTTATGTATGTAGTGAGCTTGGGTGTATTTGGGTATGATCAGGTGGAAAGGCAACATTAAATTTAAATATAAGTCATATGTACAAACACAGACGTTTGTGTTTGATGATCATTTTGATAATTGAGAATTGAAGGGCAGATAAAGTGCTTCCCAGACAAAGTAAAGCTAAAGGAGTTCATCATCACCAGGCCCTTATTAATATGAAATGTTAAAGGGTCTTATCTAGGAAAAAGAAGAGGATCAAAACTATGAACAGTAAAATGACAACAAACTCACAACTATCAACAATGGAATCTAAAAATAAAGCAAAAACAAACTAAGCAAACAACTAGAACAGGAAGAGAATCACAGAAATGGAGATCATGTGGAGGGTTATCAGCGGAGAGGGGGAAGAGGGAAAATGAGGGAAAAACATACAGGGAATAAGAAGCATAATTGGTAGGCACAAAATAGGCAGGGGGATGTTTAAAATAATATAGGAAGTGGAGAAGCCAAAGAACTCATATGTACAACCCATGGACATGAAATAAGGGGGGAGATTGTTGGAGGGAGTAGGGGTGTTGGGTGGGCGGGGGCAAAGGGGAAAAAATGGAACAACTCTAATAGCATAATCAATAAAATATACTTAATAAAAATATAAAAGTGATAAAAAGAGAAACATAAAATTACGTGTCTGGTTTTTTGGAGGTGACAAGTCTCCCTAATAGTACTTTTCCTAGAAAATCTTTCTTCTTCTGTTTGAATGCAAGACAAATAATCCTCCTGGCATGGCTGCTGTTCAGACTTGCAAGGCAGAGCTGACTGCAGGATACAGTCTGTTTAGAAAGATGCTAAACATCCCTACATGGCCAGCATTTGCCAAAAGACTATAGGCAGCTAGTCACAAATACCAATAAAGCTGTTTTTTATTGGATTCCCTGGAAATATGTTCTGGATGGAAATTTCTCCATCGAAGTTTTATTGAGGTGGCCAATCAGAACATACCTTTGTTAGGATGTAGGGAGAGCAGATTGGGGCAGAATGGGAACTTGATCCACAATACAGATGCTGTTGCAACCAAAATCTCAGTTGATCATCTGAGGAGCGATGGAGCGGGAATGAGCCTTCACAGCTGTCCCAAACGGAGCCAACACAGCAGGGCCTCTGTTTTTCTGCACCAGCCAATCATTATTGCAGGACACCCCAGCAAGAGAGGGAAGTCTCCAGCTAGGGAATTTTTTGAAACCAAAGGCAAAATTTTCGGGGGTTGAGAGCTATCAGTAGCAGAAATTCTCAAAGACTGCTGAAATGTGCACATTAATTCTGAAGTGTAGATCTTAGCAAGACACCACAGTATCCACTCCAACAGAGAGAAAAGGGAAAAGAGAGCAAGCAACATGAAGTTTCATAGAATCGTAAATCCTGTAGATTAAATGGGCATTTTCGGTTCTACAATGTAAAGTGTAAGGGCATACCAGACAAAGAGAACAGTAAAAACTAAAGTATAGAGGCAGGGTAAAGTTTTGGGTGTATGAGGAATATTTCATTCACACCACACATCTGTATTGAGCACCTCCTATTTCCATAGAAAATCCTAGGTGCATAGTGACTAAGAGAAGGGAGAGAAAATTGAAGCAGATATGTTACAAAATAAAAGGGAGAATAACAAAAGATGACACTGAAAAGGCAAATAAAAGTCACAGATGTTACTAAATGACACAGAATGTACTCTGCATGTTGATGAAGAGTTAATAAAATAATATGATCATATTCATCTCTTTGAAAGCTGATTAGACTGTCAGAGTTGAGCATGACTTGGTGGAGGGGAGACTGGAGACAAGACCACTAGGTACAAGGTGTCTTGTCTCCAGTACAAAGTGTGGCAGACAATGTTAGTTGTCTATCTTCTTGTCTTACTAATTAGGCCTTCTTTTCTTTGCAATGAATGCTCAGGAAGCCAAATGCTTTCTCATCTTCTCTGATAGTAATGAGATGTAAGTGCATTACTGCTGGTGGTTTCTGGGGAACTTATAGTTTCTTGAACAACAGAATGGTGCAGATGCAGCTGACATGCCCTTTCCCCCTTCTTATTGTTCTGAATATGGATATGATGGGTAGAGCTGCAGCAGCCATGTAGCAACCAAAGGGAAAGGAGCCAAGGGTGGTAGAGTTATCATTCCAACTGTCATGGAGCTGAAGAACCAATGGAAGCAGCCACTTACTTTAGATATTTTGTTGTGTAAGAAATATAAACCCTATTTAGTTAAGCCATTTAAATTTTGTTGTTCTTACTGGCTGCTGAATGCAATCTTAACTATTATAGAAAATTGTCCAGGAAAGATTTAAGGGGGACCAGATCCAGGTAATGGTAATGGGGAATAAAGATGCAGGGACAGCGAAAAATACACAAGTGGCTGAATCCACAGGACCAAGCCACTAGCTGTGGGATATGAGAGAGATCAACAATTCAGGGATCATCATGAGGTTCTGGCTTAGGTATATTTTTCCAGGCTCCCCTTCTACTTCACTTTATTTCTCAACCATGCGAAGCTATTTTTTAAACCTCTTTACCTTTTCAAATGTTCTTTTCTGCTTAGCACATCTTCCCATATATGCTTTACAATTTAATTTCAAATATCACCTCCTCCACAAAACACCCTCTCCTCTTAATCCCTAAGAGTATATCATTCCTTTTCTATGAACTGAAGCCACTGTTTTTTTTTCCAAATAACTATTATGTGCCAAATATTAAGTGTTTTACAGATATTAAATCATTCTTTTAACTAATCTCTGAGAGAGGTACTGCTAGAAGTCCTCATTTTACTGAGGTAGAGAGAGATTTATTAACATGCTCACACACATGAACCTACGACATAACAGCTTGTATTGGAACCCAGGAGATGTGGAGACCCTGCTAAACTACTTCCCACAGGAAAAAAACAAAAAACAAAAATACAATCTGAATGACCTGATTTCAATTTCTCACCGTAGGGCAATGGTAGTGAATATGATAGCACATCTGTAATTAGTTGAATGGTGGCCTCCAGAAAGATATGTCCACACTCCAGACCCTGTGACTATGACTTTATTCAACAAAAGATCACTGCAAATGTAATGAAGTTAAGGATTTTCAGTGGAGATCTTTCTGGGTTATCCAAATGAGCCCTAAATCCAATAACAGGCATCCCTATAACAGACACACAGAGGAAAGACTGGGAGAAAAGGAGAAGGCCAAGTGAAGACAGGCAGCTATTATAGTTACACAGCTACAAGCCAAGGAACACCTGGTGCCAACAGAAGGTGGAAAAGGCAGCCTTTAGAAGGAGCAGGACTGTGCTAGCACCTTGATCTCAGGCTTTTGGTCTTCAGAATGCGAGCTAATATATTTCTGTTGTTGTAACCCATCAAGTTTGCGGTAATTCGTTACAGCATCCCTGAGAAACTAGTACACCATCTCTGGCAATGCCAGTACAAGGCAATTCTCATTATCTTCTCCTATCAAAGCTTTCAAATAACACAATATCAAGCAATTATTATCAATCGTCTATATTGTGGGTACTTGCGCAAAGTTTTTGCTATGGCTGCATAGTTTCTATACTTTAATCCAATGTGGGGTTAATTATATTAGAGAAGGTGATACTTCATGGAAAATCATTAGGAAAAATTTTTTTTCAGTAGCTATATATGACATGATTAAATGCCAATTAGCTTAGCTTCTGCCAGGAGGTCAAAAACTTTCCATGGTATGTAGGCTTTTGCCAGATTTTTCTTTAAATTTTAAGAGTCTAGATATTTAGAAATCCAAGATATTTTGTGAATTTGATACTGTAGGTCAGGGTCTGAAGATTTATCCTTGAGGAAATACATTATATTTATCATTCACTTGGGGGGCTTGCTTTCTTCCCTACGTGAGAACATACTTACTACCAATGAACATTCTTGGATATTCTCATTCAAAGTTAGCCTTGAAACCTCAAATATTTTCGGGGCCAAAGATTCTAAAACTTTTTTTAAAAAGTTTGTTATATAATACCTTACAGGCACCTTGACAGGAAGATATCCCCAATCCATATGTCATCTACCTAGCAACAGATACAGAAACTAGACTTTACATAGAAAAAGTGCCCTGTCCTAGGTAAGAATATATTCTCAAATCAAAGCTATAAATGTCATCCTCAGAGGTCAACTGTTCTAGTTGTGGGACTACAAATCCATCTGGATGGTGAAAAGTCCTGAGAAATCTACCAAATCCACCTGAGAAAGGGAACCGGAATTGCCTAGATTATTAATTTCATCCATTCCCGCCCCCTACCCACCCCCTGCCTTCCCGTCACCCCCCCTCACCCCCTACCCCACAACTCCTTGCTTAGAGTGTATTGCACTTTCCTGGTTTCCTGAATCTCGCAGCAAAGCAATGCCTCTATTCTATACAAATCTCTTTTTCCTCCCTGTTCCTTGCTTTTCTCCTGCCTTTTGAACCTACCTCGGCTTGTCACAAGCAATTTAAAAATGATTAGTCTTCCCATCAATCCTCTTCCGCCCTTTTTTCCAAGGTCAATTTCCATCTACTCCTTTTTTCAGGACCCCTTGCTCCATGTGTCCCTCTCCTTCCCTTCTTTCACGCTGGAATTTTTCCAAGCTTCCTGGGCCCAATTTCGGCTGCAGAGGCTTCTCTATCCCTCTAGCTCTCAAAAACCCTGATCCAGTTCCAGGCTCCTCCCCACGTGTGTCCAAGGTCTCCCCTTTTACCCTGTACCCGGGCGTCTTCCCGTAAAGTTTCTCCCAGACTTTCCAGAGATCTGCTGCTGCGCTGAGCTGACTGCTCTGTTTCCTAGGATACCATCCGCTTTCTCCAAAACTTTCCTTGTGTTTAGAGCCTTCCGCAGATTCCTCTCACTGACCTGCAAGTGTTCTGGGCACAGGTGAGCCTTCCAAGCTTCACTGAAATTGAGATGAATGGATTTCTTGATCTCATACAGGTTGTTTTTCCTCCAAAACTGTCCTCAACTTGGAACTCCCGTTAGTCATATTGAGGAGCTTTTTAAAAATGTATCCACCTCTAGAGATTTGGATTTAATTAGTCTGTGTGGGACGTGATTACTGGAATGGTTTAACCAGTTTCAGGGGGAGGTGTAATGTGTGTCTACGTTTGAGAATCAGTGCAAAATCCCCCAACCGATGCATGCTCTTCTTACCTGGCTGGTATCTAGAGTTTCCGCGGAATCTTTAACGATGCAGCAGCCCACCCTTAGGAGTTCTTTTATTCCCTGTCCTGAACGCTAATTCACTCCCAAAACAACAGGATCAGAATGTACCTTCAGAGCTTTCCAAGAAAGTTGCTGGGAAAGTTGGCAATACGTCTGGGCCTGGAAAGCAGCCAAAGAGATTTTAATAAGCGAAAATAGAAGAGCCCAGGCTGAAAAAGAATCCACGGTGATCACATTTACTTACATTTCTTGATGTACTGTAAACGGCCCTGCAAACTCTGGCAACATAATATCGCAGCGCAATTAACCCCTGTGCGTCACTCTCCTGCTTCTGCCCGCTTTGCCCTGCCAGCTTTGATTACTGAAGGCTGCAGCTGGCCCTCAGGCTTCCAGTCCGAAATGGTCCTTTTACAAACGAGGAGAATGAAGCTAAGGGAGATGTAATTTAAAGGAAGTGTCACAGCTGAACAGGGCAAGAGGGGACCAGGAGGGAGGCAGAAAACTCAGTCATCCTTGTGAGTGCCCAAAGTCCTTTCAAACGCACCCACTTCTCACCTATTTAGTAGCCTGCTTTGGAAATGCCACTGATGATTCTCAATGGGCAAACTGGCAGTTTGGTGAATGCCCAAGAGAAATTAAATTTTGTAAAAAAACAAAACAAACAAATAAAAAAACCCCCAAGGTGCTAGAGGTAATTGATGCTTCCTTATTCAGCTCAGAAAACATGGGAAGTAAATGGGGGGAAATGACTTTATCTCTCTAAACTTTTCTATAATTCTCACAGAGGATGAGTTTTAAAAGATTTAATGCTTAGTTCTGGATCTGACACATGGTAAGTGTGCAATACATAGTCATAGTTATTTTTAACGGAAGATGTTTTGCAAAATCAACATGCTGCAAAGCAGAGAAACAATGAAGCCCCTACTGTTTCCTTTCTCAATGGGGAGAATATGAAATTTTGCAAGTTGTACCTGTTGCATTGATTAAGGACTCAGTTTTCCTTTTTAGTTTAAATGAGTATTCGGGTTCTTTTTTTCCATAAAAAAACATTGATCTCTCACTTTTAATTCCAAAGTTCATTGTTTAGTAATCAGTGCTAACCAGGTCAGTTCAGTGAGCCACATTTTATCTGTGAACTTAGAAAAAGGGAAGCAATCAGATAAGACAGGTGACAAGGGTTTGCTTGAATATTTTTTTAAATGTCTAGAACAAATCTAGTGAGAACCAGACATTTATACTAACCAATGAGTATATTGCCCACCAATGTTTTTTGTCCTGTAAATAATTTGAGAAATGTGAACAGTTTAGCCACATATGCTTTTAAAGTTTTTTATTCCTTCTATAGTTACTATGAAATAAAATTACTAGCAAATATATTCTCCATGTGTATGAAACTTTATTTTTTTTTGTTAGGTCCCTCTTTGATGCAAGTAATAGAGACAAATTATAGCTAGTTTAAGCAGGAAAGAATTCAATCCAAGGACTAAATCTCATGAAGGTTCTAGAAGTAATGAATGCAAGGTCATGAGGCCTCCCTCAGTCTATTATTTATTTTTCTTTCTACTTCATTTACTTTTTTCGACCTGTTTTCACAGTTTCTCATGTCCTTCTGGTGGGTTAAGTGTCCTCAAATCATATCTTCAGACTTAGGTTTTATAGATATAGCTGCCCAAAGAGAGGATGATCTTTCACAGTTCCAATCCCTTATTCCTAAAGAAGGTTTGTTTTTGGTCAGTGGGCCATTCTTGGATCAATCACCCATCGTCACAAGGGCAAGTTATAGAGCAGAAGGATATAGCTTCAGCAGGTCACCCTTATAAGAGGCCTGGGGAGTGTAAGGACAGGTTAGATAGTAACCTGTCTAATTAACCAATTAGATATTAACTAAATAGCTATCATTCACTTAGTACTTTTTAATGATTTATTTTGATTCTTAAACAATGACAGACAACTCTGGTACTCAACTCACTATAGCATATTCCACTTTGTAATCTTATTTTTGTTTATCTAGTTTCCTCATTAGTCTGTGAAATTTTGTATTTTTTAGTGCCTGACATGGGGAGATGGGGCAATAAATATTTGTTAAAAGAATGAATGACTAAAACTGGGATGAACTTAGATTGAGTGACAGGATGAAGATTCTTGGCTAATAATGAGTATGAAATTAGCATCTATAGCCTTAAGCCCTTTTCCAACCACTATGGAGGACTCCAGCCTGCGAAGTCCCCCAGTTCGCCATGGATGAAACAATGAGTCATTCCAGACACCATTTGCCTTTCCAGGAAAAGGGAAGGCAATTATCTCTAGAGGAGAATGTCCTGAACCCCTATGCTCAATGGGTTTTATTGAGAGTGTTATAAGCAAAGTATAGGTAGCAGGAATGTGTAGGTAATCTAATTATATCAGTAACTTAAGTTTACAGAGAATAGGTGGTGTTTAAAGAAGACAATGGCAAGAACACACTGAACTACTCCGATCCGAGTTGAGGAAACATTATGGCGCGAAGTGAGGTTTGGGTCAGGGTTCAGGAATTCTGTAAATTTCTATCCCAGCCTTGAGCTGGTTATCTGGTATAAGATTAACAGAGTTTGAGGGAGAAACAAAGCATGCTTCAAGGAGTATAATTTACTTCTAAGTCTGATTTCCCCCCATGGGCCTTGGAGTTATTATTGAGTCTGGCTGTTCTCCACATTACCAGTGTTCCAGACAAGGCATATGGGTCCTCTCCCAGGTCCCAGTTTGTGAGGGCCTACAATTTGCGATACCACTCAAAGCTACCCCCTATAAACCACCAGGGTGCATTCTACATAAAATTGTCCTCAACTGTCTATTATGTCAATGACTGACATGAAATGAAACCAAAGGTCTGGTGGTTAAAATTGTAAAAATAATAGAATTAGAATAAAGGTACAACATATTTTATAAGAATTTGATTTTGCCCTCTTGGTCCATTGGTTAAGAATAGTTTTCAGCTAACAACAGAGTCCATACTTTTCATTGAAATGTTTAAAGAGAGAAAGACTCTTAGTCTATGCTTAGAATGATAAAAATATTTTTTTCTCTTTTAGGTGCTTTATTCCTGAAAATGATATTTGACATGGCAATTACTCCTGGAGAGGTGACCACTTCTCTCATAATTTTGGTGATGGTTTTTATTTTTGTAAGAGTAGTCAGGAGTAAGGGGAGAAAGCAGATGTCTCCTCCTGGCCCATGGTCTTTCCCCATCATAGGAAATTTTCTTCAGCTTGGAGACCATCCTTATCTTACATTCGCAGAGATGAGGAAGAAATATGGGGATGTTTTTCTCATCAGACTTGGCATGGTACCTGTCGTGGTGGTGAATGGAATGGAAATGGTGAAGCAAGTACTACACAAGAATGGAGAGCATTTTGCAGGCAGACCTAAAATGCATGCATTTTCTTTCCTGGCAGAAAGAAAGAGTCTTTCATTTTCAGTCAATTATGGTGAGAGTTGGAAGCTTCATAAGAAAATAGCCTCTAATGCATTACGGACTTTCTCTAAAACAGAAGCAAAATCCTCCACCTGCTCTTGCTTACTTGAGGAACATATCGTTGATGAAACTGCTGAGCTGGTTAAAGTCTTTGCAGATTTGACTTCTAAGAATGGCAGCTTTGATCCCAAAAATGTCATCACGTGTGCAGTGGCCAACATTGTCTCTGCCCTTTGCTTTGGCAAGAGATATGACCATGGGGATGAGGGGTTTCTTAGGATAATCAAAATTAATGATGACTTACTCAAGGCCTTAAGAGCATCTAATCCTGCCGATTTCATACCATGTTTTCGCTACCTTCCACTGCGGATTATAAATGCTCCTCAAGAGTTTTATCAGATCTTGACTCGATTTGTTGCACAACATGTACAAGATCATCTTACTACATATGATAAGGTAGGATTTAAATTCATGCCAGGACAAGGTATTTGGTAAGAAGCAAAAGATAATGATGAGATGTGTCGAGTACCCAGGAAATTGTCTATATTTGTCCTTGGTTCTTTTCTCTATAATTTTCCCATAATGACCCTTATACAAACTATTAGGAAATGTGAGCTTCACTCAGTGAAGTTATTGGGCAGTATTACTTAGTTCTCATGTAGGAACCCTAAGAAGAGTTATCAATTCTTTGAGACTCCAGAAATTTCTCCATTGTATGGTAAAGTACATACTTGAATTATGAATCTGTAGTTAGCTGATGAATAATTACCATGTAGGTAAGTTATTTGAAAAAAATCAACCAATGATTTTGTCTCTTCCATTTTACACCTGAGACTATGAGGTCTTAAAAGTATCAGCATTTTTTTTTTCAGAAAATTTGAATAATTATAAAAAATATTGTATAGGGAACTTCCAATTTACCCTCCTTTTCTACTTGAGTCCCTTTACTATATAGAAATGAACTTTGAGAAGTTACCTCAGGTGACAAAAGTGAACCTTTTATTGAGGCCACTCTAATGTTTTTGGCCTATTTTTATGGTCCACAGAAGAGTAAATTTCTCTCATGAAATGTGTATATACTTGAAAGAATCATAGTTGTTGAAGGCTGATTTGCTGAGATTATGGCATCATGAAAAAATAAAAATGAAAAAGTAGATAACTGAGCAAATGAAGAAATGTAAGGAGTTAAGTCCCTTCTAATGAAAAAGAAGAGGCAGTAAACAATCTGTTTCAAGGTGCCATTTGGGAATTTTAGAACATATAGAGTAAGTAAAAGAATTTGTGAGGTCCTAGGTTTTTCTTCCTACTCCCTAACCTACTTAAGCCTCATCTCTTTCTGAATGCTGATTACAGTAAAACTCTTACAATGGATTTGGAAACCTCTCATTATATTCATTACCCAGCAATTTCTACACGGTAAGCTAAATTTTAATTTTTTTCAACTATGCTTCCAGTCATAGGAACTTTTTTTATTGATTGAAAGGAACTGTAAAAAGAAAATTGAATTTCGTATTTTGGTTTTCTATTCTACATTCTTTTAAAATTGAGCATTACCATTGAAAAGTAAAATTGGCTATAAGGTTTAAAATGATCTACTATAGTCTTTATATTCCTAGGTGAATTGAATTCATTTTACATGACATGGTGCATGAGATTCATATATGATATAAAATGTAAATAGGGATCAATAATCATACTAAGATTTGTCTCCTCAGGACCATATGCGAGACATTACTGATGCTTTGATTAGTACCTGCCACAAGAAATATACATCTACCAAAACAGCCACCTTAAATGATGATGAAATCATAAACACTCTGAATGACATCTTTGGAGCTGGTATGTGAGAGTGTTTGTCAAAATGTAGGGCAAATAATGATTAATTGCTATTTTTGTGTTTTACTGTTTACAGTTTAGGGTATTTCTCTTTCTTGATTTTGGCCATTTTGTGTAGCTATCTCACTGAATTTTAAAAATTTGACAACTTGTCTTCTTCTCATGTCATTCAGAAAACTATTTTCCTCTCAGTGGAGAATCGAGTTAAACATGGTGTCTATGTGCATTAATATTATTGTTCATGAAATGCCTGGATTTGTTTGTTTATTACTCTTTATCTCTACATCCCACTCTCAACCCATTGACATTTATTCTTCATCTGTTTAAAATGTTTTCTTCGTTTATGTATTTTTATAAAACAGGCCTTATATTGTCATGTATTACATGTATTCTTACATTATCATGATTTTTTTAGAGATTTTATTTATTTTTAGAGAGAGGAGAAAGGTTGGAGAGAGAGATGGAGAGAAACATCAAAATATTAAAGGTGTTTGAGCAGTTTTATTTTAGGTGAAATATTCTTCAAACTCATTTTTTCCTTTTTTCTTCTTACTATGTTTATTGACAAATAGGTTCATTTTTTCCCTAGGATTTATGCATCTGTGTTCCTGAATTTTCTCACAGACAAGAGGCATTTGTATTGATTTGTATTATTTTTCTTATGCGAATGCCCCTGCTTCCCTTCCCTGTCACATACATATATATATATATATATATATATATATATATATATATATATATATCTTATTTTGATCATGATTTAAATTTGATGGATGCACTCATTATTTATCATGTAAATATGATCATACTGTACTTAGCATTTCTTCTGCCAACTATCTGAAGCTAAATGCTATTGTTAGATTTTTGCAAGGACCATTTTTTAAAGTCTGAACACCTTGAATATGGAAGACTGGGTGTGTGTGAGTGTGATTAACACATCAAGTGGGCTTTATTTTCATCTTGCTTTAATGAGATAATATATTCCAGAAATGCATAATTCTGTCAAGATCCTGAAAAAAATCAACAAATATAAAATTGTGGCAAATGACAGAAATGACTGTGATATAGTTTATTTACACCAGATGTGCACAACACCGTTAAACATGGTTTGTATAAATGCATACAAAACAAAGAACATTCAGTATAACAATTATTATGTAATACATTTATTCATTCAACAAACATACCTGATAGAATTTGTACTTAGAATGAAAATAAGAGTAATAAAGAAAATTAATAGGACAAACTTCCATATGTGTCTGTTACTTCTCTAGTGATATGTAATAATATTCTAGAAGAAAACAGTTGATCTCTAGACCACATATTTTAATGAATAAAATTTGCAAACACACTGTTCATCAGCTCTACCTTATTATTAACATTTATATTTCCATATTTGACTTTTCAGATTAATCATAGAGATAATTTGATTTCTCCTTCGGATATAGGCAGTATCTTCCAAAATCACTTCTTATGACCTCAATTTTTAGATAATCTATGAAAATAAGTAATATATTGCTTAAGCCTTGATATATAAGGCAAAATTTGTGATGATAAAAATATGAGTTCTGTTATGTAACTAGATAGTCACTGGTCTTGGGTACAATGCCAATGGCTCTACAATGGTCAAAATGAGTGTCTTTCATGCAGTATTCATGGCTTGTTCTTTTTCTTTTTCTGGAGAATGGATTCAATATATTCTGAATAAAAGTCAATATTTTCACACCATGCTGTGCTCTAGTATGGTCATACTTGGACAACTTACTTTTAGGGTAATTTCTTACAGTTTAAAACCACAGTGGAAATTTTGTGGCTTGGAAACCATAGAAGCTATGGGCTTACTCTAAGAGATTAACTTTTTCAAATGATCTGAAAAACAGGTCTTGAAAAGAGACACTTGGAAAGGAGATTCCTCTGCCCTGAAACTATATCTGGGTGTATTCCTTGTGCATGTTGAGTTTCAAGTTGTTTAGAGAACAAACAAATTGTTAAGCCTTAATGTTCCAGAGTGCACAGACTTGATTTTGAGTGCTAGCCTGATCTTTTTGTGGCCCTGGTGAAATATTTAACCATATCCTTGCTGCAAGGTTCTCATCTTTAAAATGAGAATAATTACAGCTCAATCTCAATGACAATGCAATCAACTGATTAATGTTTGCTCTCATCATTGTTGTAATCATTACCATAGAAACCTGCAAAAAAGATATGCTGGGGAGAGGAGGGCACAAGGGTAACAATGGGACAACTGTAATGTAATAACAATAAAAAATGAGAAAAAGATATGTTGATTTAAACACTAATTTCTGCTACTAGATTTTATTTTGTAGGAAACAAGTATCTTCATTGATTTGATATTTGGTTATCATAGCGGTGAATTTACAATTGAAACAGTCTAGAAAACCTTTTTAATGTGGCATTTCTAAGTGTTAGGTTTTTGAGAAGTGACCTTATTTTTGACATAGTGTTAAAATTACTCTTGAGAAAAATATGATTTTGATATTTTTTTCTTCCTTTTATTTTCAATAAAGAATTTAGTCAATATATAAATAATCTCAAAAATGATGATACCATGTTCAAAGGATGAATTTTAAACCTTAACAACAGGTACACTAAAAATTAGTATTTAAAAAAAATTGAATGTGCTCAGTCTTCCATTATGTGCTATGCTAATTCAAACATAGGGCTTTTTGATCTAGATAAGTCCAAGTTTTAGTGCAGACTCTGCCTTTTCTCTTTGAGTCACCTTCAACAAGGCTCATAATGTCCTTGAGGCTCAATTTCATCTTCACTAAAATAAGCACAATTTTATATACGCTATATAAATATATAGATATATAGCATGGAACAGAGTAATCACTCAGTGGTCAATTATAACTTAGTATTACTACATAGATCATAGCAATTATTAACATAATATAGTGAAATATTCCCTTTGTTTTCACTTGTCTTAAATAATAACTATGCATTTTTTAAATTTAAATTTTATTTTATTATGGTTTTAAACCCATAAACATTAAATTTACTATCTTAAACATTTTAAGTATACAGTTCAGTAATATTATATACATTCACATTGTTGTGTAACAGATCTCTAGTCTTTTTTCTTTTTCAAAATATATTTTATTGATTATGTTATTACAGTTGTCTCAGTTTTTCTCCCTTTGCCCCCCTCCACCTGGTACTAGCATCCCTGTCAGCATTTCCTCCCTTAATACATGTCCATCGGTCGTGGATATAAGACCTTTGGCTTCTTTATTTCCTATACTATTTGTCACATCCCTCTGTCTATTTTGTGCCTACAATTTATGCTTCTTAATCTCTGTCCTTTTTCCTCCATTTTCCCCCTTTCCCTTCCCAGCTGCTAACCCTCCATGTGATCTCCGTACCTATGAGTCTGTGCCTGTTCTGGTGGTTTGCTTAGTCTGTTTTTTAAATTCAGTTTTTGATAGTTGTGAATTTATTGCCATCTTAATGTTCATTGTTTTGATATTCTTCTTTTTCTTAAATAAGTCCCTTTTACATTTCATGTAATAATGGCTTGGTGATGATGAATTCCTTTAGTTTTACCTTGTCTGGGAAGCATTTTATCTGCCCTTCCATTCTAAATGATAGCTTTGCTAGATAGAGTAATCTAGGTATTAGGCCCTTGCTTTTTGTCATTTTGAATATTTCCTGCCAGTCCCTTCTGGTCTGCAAAGTTTCTTTTGAGAAATGAGCTGACAATCTTATGGGAACTCCTTTATAGATAACTCTGTTTATCTCTTGCTGCTTTTAAGATTCTCTCTTTATCTTTAACTTTTGGCATTTTGATTATGATGTGTTTTGGTGTGGTCCTCTTTGGGTCCAAATTGATTGAGGGTCTCTGTGCTTCCTGGACTTGTATGTCTGTTTCTTTCACCAACTTAGGAAAGTTTTCTTTAATTATTTTTTTTCAAATAAGGTTTCAGTATCTTGCTCTTCCTCTTCTCCTTCAGGCATCCCTATGATTTGGATGTTGGTACACTTGGAGATGTTCCAGAGGCACCTTATATTATTCTTGTTTTTTTTTGTTTTATTCTTTTTTCTTCTTGCTATTCTGGTTAAATGATTATTTCTCCCTAATGTACAAAATAATTGATTTGAATCCTGGCTTAATCCCCCCCCACTGTTGCTTCCCTGTAGATTTTTCTTTATTTCACTTGATATAACACTCATTTATTCCTGGGTCTTTTTTAAGCTGTCATCATACTAAGTGAGTTCTTTGAGCATCCTGATAAACCAGTGTGTTGAACTCTGCATCTGATAGGTTGGCTATCTCTATTTTATTTAGTTCTTTTTCTGGGATTTTGTTACTGCTCTTTCATTTAGGTCACATTTCTTTGTCTCCTCAATTTGGCAGCCTCCCTGTATTTGTTGCTGCATATAACGTAGAGCTGCTTTGACTCCCTGTCTTAGTAATGTGACTTATTGTAGAAAAGGCATCTGTAAATTGTGTGGGGTGGAGCCTTAGGTAATGGCCAGGGCAGGGCAACCCTTCACTGCTTTGTAGCTCTGTGTGGGGAAAGGGACTGGAGAAGGGACAGTGCTGCTGCTTGGCTTCTGGAAGTTTTCCAGGAACTCATCCTGTTTTCAGTCACTTCACTTACTACCTGTATGTGACTGGTGCCCTTCCCTCTGTTGCCCTAGTGCTGAATCCCAGAGGGGGCAGGTCTGTGTAAGTTCTAAGTCCAAGTGGGCCCTTTTAGTGGAGCCTCCTGAAAATCTGGCACTTTCTTCCTCTGCTCCCACCCCAACTGGTTTTTACAGCCAGAAGTTGTGGGGATTTATCTTCCTTGCTCTGGAACCCTGGGCTGTGTGGTTTAGCCTGGGGCTGGGATCCCCCACTCCTGAAATATCCCTACCAATTTTTATCTACCACACATGAATGTGGGACCGCCTGTTCTTCCACCTCTCCAGGCCACACCACATCTACCCATCTGGATGAATGTGGCTTCTTTAAATCCTTGGTTGTTGGACTTCTGTACAGCTTGATTTTCTGATGGTTCTGGGTGTTACTTGTTTTGAAGTCTAGTTGTAATTTTTTCTGTAGTTGTGCAAAGAGGTGAAGCACAACTGTACCTCCATCTTGACCAGAAGCCTCTAGTCTTTTTGCATCTTGTAAAACTGAGCCCTATGTCCATTAAACACCAGTTATCTCCCCATTTTCTCCCAGTCCTTCCAACTATTTTTGTTTCTATGATTTGACTACTTTAGATACCTTATATGAGTGAAATCATACAGTATTTTTCTTTTTATGACTGACTTGTTTCATTTAGCATAACATCCTTGAATTTATTCATGTAGCAAGTGATAAGATCTCCTTTTATAAGACTGCATAATATTCTTTTGCATGTATATGCCATGTTTTGTTTATCCATGCATCCATCAATGGACATGCAGGTTGTTTTTACCTCTTAACTATTGTGAATATTGCTGCAATTTACTCGGGTGTGCAAATATCTCTTTGAGACCCCATTTTCAGTTATTTTGGATTTGCTATACCCAGAAGTAGATTCCTGGATCAGATGATAATTCCTTTAAAATATTTTTGGAGGAACTTTCATACTGTCTTCCATAGTGACTATACCAGTTTACTTTCTAACCAGCAATGCATAAAGATTCCAGTTTTGTACATCCTCACTAACACTTGTTTTCTGTCCTCTTGATAGTGACTTTCCTAATGGATAAGAGGTTAAGCCTGTATTCTGAAACAAACTTTAATGTATACTAATTATTTTACTGTGAGTTTACTAATTTTCAGTTATATTTAGATTTTTTTTCTCTAGATTCACAGTATTTAAATATGAAGTAAATCTAGAACACCTTTTTGCGAATGATTTTCTCCATGACATTTTGTCTCATTTTTTGTTTTCAGGTTTTGAAACTGTATCAACATGTTTGTATTGGAGCTTTCTTTATTTAATATACTATCCAGAAATTCAAGCCAGAATTCAAGAAGAAATTGGTAACATGCTTTTAAATGAAAAATATAATGATTATAATTGTCATTTTCCTTATTAAATTAAAAAAACCCTTTTCTTTCAGATAGAAATATTGGGCTTAAATCACCTAGACTTGAAGACAGGAAAAGTTTACCCTACACTGAAGCTTTCATAAATGAAATATTCAGACATACCTCCTTTGTTCCTTTTACTATTCCACATTGGTAAGCTTATGATTCTCCTTTGAAACAGCACTCAATGGTGGGTTGAAGGGAATGAGGAATCTAAGGCATTCAAACAGTTTAGGTCCTTTAAAATATATATTATGTTAGTATTACTTTAAATCTTATTTCATTTTATTTTGAAATTCTCTAATGAAATTTTTACAGGGAACAACAGCATATTTTGTGACTGTTTTCATAACTAAACTAGGATGCCATTAATTTTCATCTTATTTATACTAATTAAGGAGAGAAAAAATATGGAAGTTCCAGACAATGGATAATACAACCATAATATATTTTTAGCTATGAAATGTCTTAAAAACTCACTTAACTTTCTCCTGTGAGCAGTCTTAGTCACCTGCTGCTGTAGCTTTATTTTCAGTAGCTTAGAATTTTGCTGGTCAATGGACTAAGGAGGCCAGTGTTACCACAAATAGATTAAACAGAGTTTATATTGACAAATATTTGAAAGTTGACTGAACCTTACACTAGACTCTCCAGCTCACAAATGCATGCCTGTATAGATTAAGCTTTATTAAATATAAATGCAAGCAACCAAAATTCTGGTAGTTTGAACTTTCCATTCCAAGCAATTAAAATAAAAAATGAAAATCTCAGTGCTCTTTGCTTTCCACCTTTAAATAGTAAGGGAGCGGGAATGTCTCACCCCAGGGAGCTGAGGTAGTTGTGGTTATCAGTGCAACAGGAAGTAGGGCCTTCAGCTGAGGTGTCCTGAAAGGCCAGACAGTGAGCAATACAGTTCTCTGCATTTTGTCTCTTTACTTTGTTTTCCATTTTCACACACAATGCTATTTGCTCACAGTGATACCTTTCCTGCAGACCCTCTTTCTGTTTGAAGTAAATTGCGTCTTTGGCTTAGGTTTTAAAAACAGGTCCTATTTTTTAAAAAGCCATTCTTCTGTCCCAGTGATTTTCATAAGTGACTTGTGTTCCTCATAAAAGGGTATGATCTGTAAGCTTTACTAAATAATCAGGAACAGAGTGGCTCTGCAAAATTTACAGGCACCGTTTGGATTGAATGACAGGGATCATTTACTTTGGAGCCCTGAAAACCCATCTGAGGACATATCTGATAGGGAAATTCATCTTAAAACATAGGTGTTCATTATATTACTAAAAGTGAGGAAATAATATATAAAAGAGCAATTCATTGACCAATGAGAGTAGTGTGATATGAACCAAAAATTTTTGCACACATGTAAAAGACATATATGTTCTTTGGAACTAATCTACCTTCCTATACCTGGAAGTTTACTGTTTTCCATTTAAAAAGGCATGGGATCAAAAAGCATAAAATGTTAAAATGAATTAAAACAAGCTAAATAGAATGATCAGTAACAGGAGCAAAGGTTTTGCTGTTACCTATAACACCCACATATACACATACTACACAAGACCAAACAGTATCCTAATAAATATTTATTACATATATGTCCCCTAATAGTTAAGTGGATAGCCATTTTCATACAAAAGTTTTGGGAATATATATGAAGAGAGAAAAACCCTACAATTAATGCATTTATATATTGAATTCTCCTTTAAAATAGTTATCATATTTTAATAACAGTGAAATCAAATCTTACATGCTAAGTTTCCATAAAATAGAAGCATGAAGCTTTTGATGTAGAATACATTTGGAGCAGCTAAACATACAGAGGGTGTGCGGATAAGAATGTATTGAGATAAGCAAGTGTTCATGCATAGGAGGAGGTAATCTTTCCCCCAAAATTGATATATTCCTTTTTTGGCATTTTCCTTCATTGGATTTTGAGGGCACCCAATGACTAATGCCCACGTTATTTGCCAAAGTTCAATACCAGCTACAAAAGATGAGCACAGATCATATGGAAATTCAAACATGAGCTTTCCTAATGATCAGAAGTAGTTCACACAATTTGGCTTAGAGGTGGGTCAAGTAGGTTCCCTTATACTTCTCACCTTAATTAGACATAGTTTTCCACTCAGTCTCTGATAAGTTTAAACAACAGTAGTCTCCTATGGAAGTATGAAATCAGCCTCTTCAAGATTATCATAGTGATTGTCGATGGGATATACCTTATTGATATGTTGGCTCATCAGAAGAGAGAATACAGAAGTGGCTAAGCCAATTGGTTTCAGATTCTTCTCTCAAACTCATTAAATTGAAATGTCCCCGCTGCTCCTTTGGGGCAGAACTGAGAGTAGGGGCCATCTAGGAAGTTGGGGAGTGCCACATGGAAACATAGCATGATTTAATCTAATCCATGCATAATTACAGAGGTATAAAAAACAAAGATACACTTTTTGCATAAAAAAGTTTGAATATGAGACTAGAAAAATAGATTATTTGTTCTACAGACAACTAGAGATCATCCAACACAAAACAATATCATTTCATAGCTAGAAAATGAAATCATAGAATAGATATGAGATTTGCCCAATAGTTCACTGTGAGCAGTGTCTAGAGTTCAGATTTCCTGGTTCCAATTCCATTATTTATTCAACTAGATAGTAAAAGATGTTATGTTTTGTTTTCTTAATCTATTGATAAAAGCCAAAATACATAGGGAATGCAGAAAGTAATAATTTCCTTATAGTTTCCTTATATAATTTGATGTGTCTACTTATGGGCAACTTTGTTGTAGAAATTTCGAGATAATTTTCCATTGAAATTTTAGCTCATAACAATGCCTTAAATATGTTAAATGCTCAATATGTTTTACACACACAAGAAAAGGAATAAATTACTAATTTGGCAATAGGTGGAGGCTATATCAGTTAATGAAAGAATGAAGATTTATGAGGATTTCACATCATTACAGTTTCTAAAAAGACATTAATAAGGATGGCCTATTTGAATTGACAGGATGTGCTGAAATGATAATGATGTATTTTGCTTTCCTAGTACCACAGCTGACACTACCCTGAATGGTTATTTCATTCCCAGGAAAACGTGCACCTTTATTAACATGTATCAAGTAAATCATGATGAGTAAGTCACCCAAATTATTTCTTGGGGTTAAATTTTTTTGTTAGGTTGGTTGTTATTTATTAATAAGGGAAAGATACACATTCTTAACCAAACATCATTCCATTTATTTCTCTTGAAAAAAGTTGGAAGGAAATTCAGCTTTGTGTCCTCACCAATAATGGAAAGAATGAAATCTTAATATAGATTCATTCAGTACAAATCCAATTTCAAAAATGGGCTTTCTGGGGGAGATGTGGACCAAGGACTTTTCGGGGTCACCCTCTGCATGGGTTAGGGCAGCTGATATTTGAAATACAATATGGAATCCCGCAAATGAATATGAAAGACCAAGCAGAGTATTTTGCTTTCTTTTTGTTTGTTTAGTTTTCCTCTATCTCAGCACCTGGATCAGTGCCTGGCACGTAGTAGCCACTCAATAAATATTTGCAAATAAAATATAACTAGAGTCTCATCCATATCAGCTATAAAGGGGAAGGCTGAGATGAAGACACCTCACTCAGTGTAAGTGAGGATGATGGCATTGGTGATAGTGGTGGCCGGAATAATGGCTGATGTCGGCTAATATTTATAGACCCTGTTGCTGTTGGGGACAAAATCTTTAAGTGTCTCCTCTGAGCCTTAGCAATAACCCTCTGCAGTGGCGTTCCTATGATCCCAATGTTACAGCTGAAGAAACTTTCAGCCAGGTGAAAAAAATTGCCTAAGGTCACATGTTCAGCAAGTAGTGAAAGCAGGACTCACATTCAGTATCTGTATATATCCTGTTTGATGGAAATTGAATGCTCCATGTGGTCTGGCCAGGGCTTAATGTGTCCAGTAAACTGGTCGAGACTGCATTCTTATGCACTCAGTGAGCTATTCCTCTTATTGATGTCTCCTGCTTCTGGCTGTTTGGGAGAGAGGTGATTACCCTGTGTACCTAGCCGCACCTTCACAGCCAGCAGAGTGGTGGACTGCACTGCAGAGGCTGTTCCACCATGAAATTTATTGTCAGAAAGTTTCACAGCTCCATTCTTCACAATCTGTAATTATGCCGAATAAAACTAAACATTTAAAAATCCACCAGAAGAAAAATATAGTCAGTGTAAACATAATGGCATTTGTTCTTAGTTAGCAGTACCTCAAGTGTCCTAAGTGTCCTAGTATCCTAAGAATGTGAGAATATATTGAATATTAAGTAGTGTTCAGACAAACTGTCTTAACACAGGTGCTTATAAAGAAATACTGTTTGTAGAGAGGCACTTCACTTATTTAAGGTAAATAAGTATTTCATTCAAGACAAGATATCATGGGTAAATTATTCCTATTTAGCTAAAACAGAGGTCACAAACTTAAGCACCCCCGTGAGCCATGAAAAATACCAAAAAATGAGAGAATTGCCCTTGTCAAAGCAGTGTGAAGGGGTCATCTGTTGTGTGTAATTCACCTCAGTAAATGGAGGACAAGCAGGACATTGTCTGAATGTTGTCAGCTCTTTCAGTTATAAGACAGAACTTGGAAATGGAAATTTTCATATGGACTCTTCTGATGTTTAAATGTTAGCGACAATGAATTATTTTTAAAAGATTATGAGAGCAAAACAAAATTTATTGAAAGACTGAGTACAACTTGAAGGTCTCCAGGTCTGTGACCTTTGGTGAAGAAAGAAAACAAATTTTCTCCTAGAAAGAGAGTGATGTCAATAAACAAAGAAGCCCAGTTCTTTGTAAGTCTCGTGGGTCCCCAGTGTATGCCTTAGGGTGTATTGGAAACATGCTTCCCCGAGTTGTGATGGACAAGCCAGATATGGTGCCTGAAACAAAAGGTGGAAGGAAAGAGACCCAGATGCAGGTAGGGAACTGTAGGCAACCCCCTGAGCCAGAGCTGCTTTCTGGTTACCTGGCTGCCGTCTTTGATGATGTGTGAAGGCCTTTTACTCAACATATTTATACCAGAGTGAGAGGTGTGGTTCATTTGTTTAAAGCAAAGGAGAATGAATATTTATTCTCCGTATTTACACCAAAATTTTGAATATTCATAGGAGAATTCTGTAGAATGTTTCATTTAAAATAATAAAAAATTGAAATAAATTTCCAAGTATTTCATTCACTATTTAATGAATCAGAAGTCATTTTAGTGAAAAATAAAAATAACTATACTAATTCATTATGGTATCTAAAAATGTCAATATTTTATATACATACCTTTGTAATAATGATATACCTACATAATTTTACATATACATATAGGTATATATGTATAGACATTTACACATGCTTATTATATAATGTTTCTAAAGTATATCTAAATGTGAACAAAGTATTTCATGCAAAACAAAATTATTGTGGAGAATTTGGCAAGAATGGCAAAATGATAAAATGATTTCTTTTTTAAAAATGTAATTTTTGTGTGTTTTACACAGAACTATTTGGGATAATCCCAGTTTATTTAATCCTGAGAGATTCCTAAATGAGAACAAGGAATTGAATAAAAGTCTTGTTGACAAGGTTCTGATATTTGGAATGGGAATCCGGAAGTGTCTCGGAGAAGACATTGCACGAAGTGAGGTATTCATTGTCATCGTCACAGTTATGCAACAGCTCAGGCTGAAACAATGCCCTGGAGCCAAGCTGGACCTGAAGCCCCGGTATGGGTTAGTCATGAGGCCCCCACCCTACAAGCTCCAAGCAGAGCCCCGCTCTGCCAGTGTTACACCTTAGGCTCTCTGACTGGAGGTAGGTTTCTGATTTAAGTCAGAAAAATTATGATTTAAATTCATTTAATAAGCAATTTAAATATTGTACCCTAAGCCATGTTATTAGTTCAATTCTTTGTCTATTATCCTACTAGAGGAAATGTTGTGTGTGTTTTTTTAAAGTCTGTGGTATAGCGTCAATTCTAATAGGAGAGATCTTGTCTCATAAGGATATTTTAAGGTAATAATAAAGTGTGATGTAATTCAGGGATTTTAACCTATGTCTCATGTGATGGTGTCACAGCTGTCACTGTGAACATGGAAGGAAGGAAAAGGTGCCTAGTGGATTGAACAAGCAGGTAAGGAGGCTCTGTCTACCTTCCTGTATACCAGCTTCAAATGGACAGGCATACTTATATTGGTTTTAAATACAGGGTTCAGAATGAGAACAAGGTCCTGATGTCAAATATATATTTTTTCCAGTGGTCTAGGAAATAGGGGCTCACGATTTCCGGAGAAGGGAGCAAGAGTAGCCTAGCAGAACAGAGAACAGTTCACTGGCAATAGAGGAGCTGAGCTTGTTTTAGAGAAGTAGAGAAAAGGATGTGAGGGGGAATTTCTTCAAAATCCACTTTTATATTGGCTTTTACTTTTTTTGTATTAAGAATTTAACTTCAGGGCAAAGTGGTGTTTTTACAATGCTACCAATTGCTTCTGACAAGTATTAAATGTATACATGTGCGTTAACCTGCTAAGGCTGCCGCAACAAAATACCATAGTCTGGGTGGCTTGAATGACAAAAATTTATTTTCTCAAGATCATGGCATCTGCAGAGTTGGTTTTCCCCAAGGCCTCTCTTCTTCTGTAGGTGGCCTTCGTCTCGTCAGGTCCTCACATGGCCTTTTCTCTGTGTGCACACACCTTTTGTGTCTCCTTTCCCTTACAAGGACACCAGTCATATTATATTGGAGCCTCACCCCACTGGCCTCATTTTATCTTACCTCTTTGAAGACCTTACCTTCAAATACAATCTCATTCTGAGGTACTGAGGGTTAGTACTTAAACATGAATGTTGGGCATGGGAGAGGGGCACAACGCAGCCCAGTACAACATGAAAAAAAAAAGATAGCAATTATTTTATAATACTTTTCAGTGTAGTACCCAGCATTATATGTGGGCTTCTTAACCTGAATTTGTTAATAAGTTACATCATATAAGGAGCATAAAATGGACAGTGAAAAACCATGTATTTCAGATCGAGGCTTTAAGAACAGTTGCATCACAAAGGACTTGGAAATCAAGCTGGTGCATAAAAGTGTACGTGGGCTCTAATTTCAGTAGGAGAGAAGTTCGGGGGAGGGGGCGCTTTATATAATGACCATGCTGGCCAGGTTACAGCAATAAAAGGAGAGAAGTCAAACAATTCAGAGATGTTGAAGATTCAAGTCAGGACTTCGTCTTTCTTTTCAAATATAAATAAACTCAGCATTTTCCTTGGGAATAAGCAGATTGGGTTGCTTGTCTTTGTGTGTGTGTGAAAGCTTTTCAAATTATTTACATTATGCCTATGACACTATGTTAAACAGAAACTATTTTTACCTTTTTTTTTTTCTGTAAGAAACTGCCAAATCTTCTGTGTACTCAACAATAATGGGAATGATTAGAACACTACAAGAATATTGGTATCTATTATCTGGTATTTTCTATAAAGAATTGTACTTTTCTGCTTCTTTTTTTTAACAGTAAGCATATATGACTTGGTACTTTTATTTTAACACACTGTATTGTAAAATGCTAATCTTCACTGTTACTATGTTTCTGAGCCATAATAAATGGTGTCCTTCTGGGCTTTTTGTTCAATTTATAAGTTTGCTTTTTATGTATTTTTAGAAACATGGACAAGAATAAAGTGAAAATATAAAAGCAAAGTAGGAATAACTTTCTCTGTCATTTAACATGTAAAGATGAATTGTTTTTAATTATATATATTTGCTTATCCTTAAGTAATAATTTATGAAGTGTAATCAGAAGCAACACAGTATACAAAACATTTTATCAAAATAACTTGTATTAACAAATACTTTATATTATTATATGGGATCAACACACAAAACTCGTTACAACTATAGAGCAGTTGAATATATATATATATATATATTCATATGTATATGTATATATGCATCAGTGATAGACCAAGATGAATTAAATCTTTAAAGTCATTGTATATGAAGTAAAAAAACCCCAGAGTTACAAAAATTAGATATCTTCCTACACACAAGTATATATGGCTACTTAGAACTAAGTCCACATCCTCCCTTGGGGTTTGGTAACATCATGAAGATGAAGACCTAGAAATGTTATCAGCTGAATGATGCAAATAGGATGCAATGTGTCTGGTCCCAAGCGTTCTTCAAAGAAGAAAACTTGCACCAAAATTTATAAAGGCATTTATGTATTCCCACTTTGTAATTCTCTATCTTCTTTCCAGTTAAACCTATAATTCAGATGTGACATCAATCCACCTGACAGAATAAGAAATTAGAAGCATTTTGGAGAGGCAGAAGACGTCTTTGGGGATTTTACTGTCTACATAATTATTAATTAGGCTATAAAATCTACAATATTCCAGGCCTCCAGAGGAGTGGATACACAATATGATTTTTCAGATTCACACAGCACTTCTCTGCAAAATCTAAGATTCATACTTTAAGTAAACAAAAAACAGTGCACTGTGTATACCTTGAAACAGAAATAGCTGAAAAGCAGCTGTTTTATGGCTTAACAGACTATAAAAACAAATTTCCTGTGAGGAAGGCAACATTGGTTTTTCTCTTCAGATAAGGATAAAATGCAGGATGCAGATAACTGACTCTCTACAACACACATTTCTAACACTGAGAAAACCTAAATAAATAAAAAATCATAAGCATGTACAGGTCTCCTTTCCTCCTTCATTACATTGTTTACAGAGAATAGTTTACCTGAATTCAGTATGACGATCAAGTTCCACCAATAGTAAAGTACACACATAAACAAAATAGCATTGCCTTTATCTTTAAGTCAAACTAAAATACCATTTCAACATAGGAAACTGGTAACATTTGAAAAGTCCGACAATGGTAATGCTGGCATGTTGCATGAATGAATTTTCCAGAAAAGTGAGATGATCGAGTTGCAAAATGCTCATTTTAATGGAACTTAATAAGAATATTTCTGAGTTGCTGATGTTTTAAAATGCCTTTACTAAACATAAGTTTATCTTTCTCAGGCTTTATGGTGACATTTATTTCTAAATTTACTGCATGGGGCTATAGTCATTTGTTGGACATTTGATCACATGCTCCATACCTGCCCCAGTTCCTGGTTTCATTCATTATTTAATAAGAACTTCTCCGCTCCCTGCCAGCTCCACAAATTCAAAGCTGAGTCTGTCCAGCACTGTTTCAGGCACACAGCAGAAAGTCAATAAATGGTTGTTTAGTCAATGTAGAAATTAATTAATGATTAAATGAATGGTTCTAGTGGAGGGCAGGAAAATCATTAGCTAAAAAGAGTTCTGAGATTTTCTAGTATGGGTAGTATTTCTGGCATCTCTGTTTATAGTTTGACTTTCACCTTGTTGTGTACATCTCAGACTGAAAATCTTCAGTCTTCTCACACTTGTTTAAGCTCTAAGATCCAGGTCTCATCAAATAAGCCCTTAATTCTTTTTTTTTTTTGACTGACACATTTGTGGCACCAGATTCCAACTTGAAATTAGCCCCTAACTCCCCAGGGTCAGTGTCAAAGTGTGTCCTAGACATTTCCAAGGGCACCATCTCAAATGTGTTCCAAAAAGATACTGTGTTTTTCCCATTTTGACCTCTTCATCTTGCCAACACACTTGCATACCAGGAGCTGTCTTTGTTATCAACTTTACCAAGAGCATTTATTGTCTAATGGCATCTATCACATCTGCCCATTCTGATGGAGAGAAGATATTGCTGTTTTCACCCTGTAATGTTTATATCCAAGGATGGGTTTGGAGGATTTACCTATTTTTCAATGGCATAACTGAGAGTAATAATACTAAAGAAAACTTACTTGAAAGTTTGGGAAATATTGGAAGGGACTACACACTGCCCCCCCCCCCAAAAAAAGAAATCATGTCCTGTCTCTTACTGCCTAGTCCAGACCACCTCAGGGCCTTATCTGCTCCCTGTGGACAGGTGTAACTCCTCCACCCTGTACCCACCTCACTGTTCTAATCCCTTTTATACCTCTTCACACCAGCTTTTGCACTCTCTGAGGCCAGTCAGACAAGCTAACCTCTCTCCATCCAAGAGAGATGTGGTTTATCTGACCCCAGCCCCAGGCATAACTCCTGAATCATCACTTCCTTCCCTAGGTTTGCCATCCATGGCGGTGGTTTCAGAGTATATCCCTTAATTCAAAGAAAATTTTGATGGCATCTGAATGCGCACAATTGTTTTATTTTGACTAGACCTTAGAACTTTGCTTCTTTGTCCCCCATCCCACCAAGCTCAACACCAGAAATCTAGAAGCAATATATATATAAGCAGGATGGGTCTAGGAAAATCAGCTACCTAGTTAAGAGGTAATTGAAATATGTTCCAAAGTTATATCATTCAGAAAACTAATTTCAGATAAAGACCTAAATAATTAAAGCCAAATGTTAAAATGTTTAGAAAAAAATGTTTAAAAGAGTAAGGAAAGATTTTTTTAAACGGCATACAGAAGATACAATCCAAAAGAAAATTCTTAATTCATTTACTACATGGAAATTTAAAATGTCTACGTGACAAAAGTCTCAATAGACAAAAGTAAAAACAAGCCATGGAATGTGAAAGAATATTGGCAACACTTGTAAAAGAAGTGAAGTAGTATCCAGAATTAAAAATAATGTATTCAAATAAATATTAAAAATATAATTGGTACCCCACCTCTTCAAAACAGGCAAAGTTTATTAATAGGCAAAAACATAAAGGGGCAATTAACATGAAAAGTTGCCCTCTTTAATAATAATCCATGAAGTAAGTATTAAGTCAAACTAAAATACCATTTCACACATAGGAAACTGGTAACATTTGAAAAGTCTGACAATGGTAATGCTGGTGAGTATTTGGAGAAATGAGAATATGCATTCACTCTTGTTGGTAAATGGTACAAACAATATAAAATTTGGAATCTTTAATAAACCATTTGGAAATTTGTATTAAACTTGAAGATATACTTACTCGATATTCAGCAATTCCATTAGAGAAACTCACACACTCACAAGAAAGCGTGCATTGTCTATTACAGCCTTCCTTTTTTTAATACTGAAAAATTGGAGAAAACTGAATGCTCATAAACACGATACTAAATAAACGTAATTATGTTAAAATCATGTAACAGAATACTCTGCAGTAGTGCAAACAATTATACTAGTGTTACATGAATCAACATGGCTAAAACTCCAAATCATGTTTAGTAAAAAAAAAAAAAAAGTGCATAGCATGAGTGCACAGGGTACAAGACATTATTTATATAAATATTTTTAATAAATGAATAATACTGCTGTATATTGTGGATACATGAATATATAGTAACAGTACTAACAAATACATAAGAATAACAAATGCAAAATTTAGTATTCTGTGGATCATGCATGCTTTTATCGATTATGTTAAAAATATATAAATGCTTACATGGAAAGTGTAAGATGTCACACGTAAATAGTATGCTGATAAAAACATGATTTTTAAGTATTTCAGTTTAGGCTTATGCTCTAAATATAGTACTACATTCCTTTGAGCTTATAAATTCCCTCTGCTGTGAACGCATATAAAGTGTGAAGAAATGTTCAAGGATGGCAAGTATTTATCACAAAATTCATGGCTTTTGTCTAAAGACTGAATCTTCAAACTCTTCAACTAGACAAACTAGGAGTTAGAACATGAGGTTATAGAAGTTTTTCATTATTTAAAGTAAAACAGAAGCTGATGATTGAGAGTATGGAAAGAAAATAAACTGTATAAAATGTTAAAAATCTGGAATTATTCATTGATTGATTAAGAAGCTCTACACATTTACATAACACTTTATTTACTTTTTAATGAATGTGTTCAGTTGCCTACTCTAAGCCAGGCACTTTACATGCCAAACAAAAACAATGGCTAAAATATGATCCCTAACTTCAGAAGCTTTTTAAAGGTAGAGGCAAATAATGATAATTGTGTGTGTGCGCGCGCACAATATGCAATTTTCTCTTTTGGTAAAGTCTTTAACAGGGTGAATTTTTTTTTTTTTTTTTGGATTAAGTATGTGTTTGTATAATTCTGCCGATGTACCTCTTTGCATAGCGGGTCAGTCTTCCAAGGAATTTTCATTCTTTGATTCTTCTAAGCCCACTTGATCTACACCATACTACTTTCTAGCACCCTATACTCAGCGGCCTTCCCTGGGTTTCACCGTCTCTCACTCTTCCGCCTGACACTTTGACCGTTACCTATCTGTTTAGAATTTCCAAGGGATTTTGCCATCTGAGTAGGTGAGTACGGAGCAGGTTATAAATTCAGTATCTTGGGAAGAGAGTTTAACATCTTTGGAGGGCACAACTTCTACTGTCTTAGTAGTGTTTGCTTAGCTTATTTAGTGTCTGGGATGTAAAGTCATTCACCATGTACCCAGGTGACTCATTCCCATTCAAAATACTTACTGGCAATCTCCTTCGCGGGGCTTCTGTGGGCAGTGTGTGAAAAGGTTTTCCAAAGTTTAAACTGCTGCA